ACTGCGCAGTGTGCGGGCAGTGGTTTTCACAAGCAAATGCAATGAGGCGACATCTTAGGCGCTGGCATCCGGAGATTTGGGAGCGACATGAAGCGAAGCTCATACATGCAGGTAGGCAGTGGGCTCGATCTTGTACCAGTCCTTGTCCCGTGTGTGCAGCGACCATTGTGGACACGCGCCAACATGCAGGCCAATGTGTGGTGATAGCATGTTTAATTCAACTTGAGCTAGCTTGCCAATCAGGACCACGGTCCAGCCAAGAGTCAGGCAGCAGCGCTCTTTGGACATCTTCTACCGGGGATAAAGGCGCTGGCCGAGATGGACACGACCGGACCGGCGGCGAAGAGACCGCGGCGGGAGGAAGGGACGGATGGCTTGGGGTCCCAAAAGACGACGGGGGCGATCAAAGACGGCAGCCAGGAGGGCCAAGGCAAGGGCAAGGGCAGGCGGCAAGAGCAAACGGCAGTGGAATCGTCAAGGAGCCAAGGGATACCGAGGCGATCAGACCTCAAACGATTCTTCACAGTCAGAACTGATACGCTTGATGGCACAGATGTTGCTACGCAACGGGGATCAGTTGCTCCGGTTGTCTCTCGATACGGGATTCTTTCTTGTGCTACAAACACCGCCGCAGCACGGATCGATCACGCCAGTCATGTTCAGCGTGACATCGGAGTGGCGGAAGACTCTCCAAAACACGCCCGATCAGATCAACCAGCCCTTGAAGATCCACATGGTCGAGTGCCTCTTTCAGGAACTGGCGGCCAGAGCGAAGCTAGTGGAACAGAAGCCGGAGGCAAGAGCCGAGGCCATCAAGCTGGGCATGCTGACGGAGCAGGGGGATTGGAACTACAGGGTTTGGAATCCCACCAAGCAGGAGCTGGACGTGGACACATCCCGCGTACCGCTGAAAGCAGCCACCTTTCTGGAGCAGTTGGACGTGGCCACGGCGATCATTCGCAAACCGGAGGTCCTCACCAGGTTCCAGGCCATTGCAGAGCTGACGGAATCCACAGAGAATGCCAGCATTCCCTTCCTGCTGGATGTCAGCCTGAGAGAACAGGAGCTTCATCAGATCCTGTTGGCGTGGTGCGAGGTCTCAGTGTTCGAGCTTCTGGCGGGGCGCATGCGGCGCGCGCGCGCGAATCAAGCGCACTGCACAGATGGAAAAGCTTCAGCAGCTCCTGAACACTCTCTGACAGGCGTGATCTTGCGCAACCCAGGGAATCAGTGCTATGCAAATGCGCTCATGCTAGCCTTGGCCAGGCTACTACAACCCATTTGCCATGCCAGGCACAGGTTTGCGCAGACTCCTTTGGGCAGTATTCTGTGTGAGCTTTACAGAACGCGCAAAGGTGCGGCTTCTCGTACTTTGACGCTTCGCAATCTGGCAGCGTGGGCACGCTTGACAGAGGGTTGGGCTGATCCACACCGACAGCATGACACTCATGACACTATTGATTTTCTTCGGCACATTACGCGTCATGACGACTCGCCTGTTCAGCTGAGCCCATGGAAGGCATACACACTTGGGGCTGAAATGCGATGGGTGGATCGGGGCTCAGGGGCCATTCTTTTGCCCATGCGGAGGCCTGACAATGCGCCTCACCCTGATCTCCAGGCTTGTGTGGATGATTGGCATCGGCAGCTGATGCTACATGTAATCTGCTCGGATGCTGAGTGGGTCATCTTGCAGTTAGACAGGCTTCGTGGCCGGGGTGTTTTTCAGGTGCGAGACAGCCTGGCTTTGCCAATTCCAAAGCAGTTGAGCCTGCCTGTGGGAGCCTCTGATCAGAGTGTGACGCGTCAGCTATATCGAACGGTGTCGGTGATCCTCCACTATCGTGCACAGCTGACTTCAGGTCACTACCGAACTTTGTTGATGGGGCTGGGCAGTGAGGGGGAGCATCACTTTATCACAGACGATGAACGGATTGCTGCACCGTGCTGTGAGAGTCAGCTGGCCGAGCCTGCATCCAAGGCGTATGTGATTTGCATGCAGCGCACAGTGGAACCGTTGATGTCGTGAGGTGTGCTTTGGATCAGGTGGCTTATCACGGCATAGCTTGGAGCTGTGTTGTGCTGCGCCCTTGCATGCATGAACGCACTGATCCTCTTTTTCCATTAGTTGCATTATTTCCTTTGGTCACATGTTGCATTACTGAGCTGATTGCATCAGTAACAGGGTCCTGTGCAGCGGCTATGGAGCCAGGGGATGCATATGCCATCTCGGGAGATGGGCCGCAGGATGCAGATTACAGCCCTTGGCAGGGTGTGCTAGCGGGGCTTCCAGCTTCGCTTATCATGCCGGATGAAACTCTGGGGATGTACTTGACGATACGCAAGGTGACAAGTATTATGGTTACTGACTGCGGCATTGGATGTTACTTCCGGCAATTTCCTGCTGATGAACATAACAAGGCTATCATCATGCAACAGATTTTGCAAGAAGTTGATGGATTCATATTGCCTTTTTTCGCCTTATGCTGGACGATGAACATCGTGAGGACTTCTTTGAGGGGCTTTATCAAATGATTATCACCAGCATGCAGGTGGATGCGCGTCCCTTCAGAATGCTGTTGCAGGAATCCGTATATGCACCAGCCGCCAATGGGCAGAACACTGTCAACCACACTGGTGATGCACTGACTGTCTCGGATTCGGATATTGCTGCTACGGAGCGTGGTGCATCCAGTAATGCTTCAGCTGTGAGTGAGTGCGACACTGATTCTGAGCTGTGAGTGCTTAAGCTAAAGTTGGTAAGTACGTGGTAGTGTGCACAGTGCACTCTGTTCACAGGTGGGGGTGGCCGCCTTGTAGATCCCGCAACATTTTCCGCATGTTCTTCACCGCTTTTTGCTTCTCTAGGTGTCTAGTGTTCTTCTTGTACAGGCTTTGATGCCAGTTTCGTACGTGGCATTAGCTTTCGAATGTCTCTGTGGTTACGATTGAGTGCTGTACAACGGCACTGTTGTGACTACTGGATAACTGCTTGAGGTAGCCGGGGCTTCATGCTCTGTTCGTAGGTCGCTCGAGATGGATTGCTACCGTCTGAGACTCAAAGACAAAGACAAAGACAACGGACTTCTGACTTCTGGGGTTCCTATTTCTTCCGTGAAATGGGTAGAATCTAATACCGGCGCCGACCGGAAGAGCCACGGCGGCGACTCTTGCTTCGACCGACGAGGCGCTCAAGCAGCGCACACGTGAGCTGTACCTTGACCAACTTTTGCAGAGACTAAAGCAGGCGATACGCACGGCAGAGTGTTGCCACAACATGCTTTCGGGTTTTCCAGAAGCTTTGGATACTCGCCTTCCAAAGTTGCACACTACGCTTGAATTTCATTCGTTTGGATTGCGAATCCCTTCGTTGCGGTGACATGGGGAGACCATACACTTCGAGGTGCTCGCAGGTGTTCGGCGGATTCAGAGCATGTTGCACAGTCGGCCCAACAAGGCGAACGCAGCCTCATCTTCGCCTCCTCGCGGGCCAGGTGCTCAAGCATCTTCAGCAGTTCGGCTGCAACACCAGGGATGAGGAGCTAGTTCAGTGGGATACTTGGTTACCTGGAGTTGGGAGTTCGAGCGAGCCGTTGACAGAGCATACATCCTTGACTTCAAGAGATTGTCTGATCGCCGGAAAAAACCCACAGTCTTCAGTGCTCTTGAGGATACGAGCCACGTCATGTTTGGCTTGCCTGCTTCACTTGTCAACGACAGACTGTGTCGTGTGCTTAACACCATCCTTGATCAGAACGATTACAAGGGTTACAAACATACGGCTTTGGACCTCAAACTATCTTCAAGGACGCGAGCTTCGGCACTCATGACTGCAGTCCAACTCATGGCCGGTGCTCGACGGCAAGCAGCTCTTTCGCAGGTTGGGTTGTGCGGTTGGAGCAGGCAATGGCCGAGAATGACTCGATTGCTAGTCAACGTTTGTCTGATGATCAGAAGGTTGCCCCTTGCTGCGATGTTTGAGTCGTCCCTTGTTGAAACACGTTCAACTAGAGACAACAGCACGGTCGATTTTTCACTCAGTCCGCGGGTGGCTGCTATGGAGTTCCTCCAAAGCAGCCACCTACGGACTGAGTGAAAGAGCGACCGTGCTGGCAAAGGCAAAGGAAGGGACAAAGGCAAGGGAACGGACAAAGGCAAGGGAAAGCAGAGCAGTCGCAGCGCCCGCAGCCCGACAAGGGTAGAGGCAAAGGGAAGGACAAAGGCAAAGGAAGGCAACAGCAGCAGTCGCAGTACCCACAGTGTGGTAACGGCACGTATGGCACGTACAAAGCAAATCAGCTGTGTGGATGGCGACAGAAGCCTGGTCACTACAAGCATGAGTGCCGACCATACCAGGCATACTTGCGTGAGCATCCCAATGCGGCTCCAAATGCAAGGCAGGTCCAGGAGTCTTCCTACGCATCCACAAGTGGGCCTACTGTTGCGTCCTCGGTGCCCTCGTCTGCCAGTCAGCCGAATGCAATGACGAAGGCCCAAGTGAATCGTGCTGCTTTCATCGACCTTAGCCAGCTACGCCCAGGAGCTGGTGCCCGAGGGTCGTTGTGCGCTGCCCGCATCGTTGAGCCTTCACGTGCATGTTTCGACATGCATGCTAGTGACGTTGACGGTCGCTGGACCGTGAGTCTGACTTGTTTGAACAAAGCAGCTTTCGAGCTGTCACCTCCTTGGGAACGAATGGCGATGATGACGAGTCTGAAGCCACTGACATAACTAGTCATCGACTCAGATTGTTTGAATGATCGCCGACTAAGGTCGGGATTAAAGGACTGTGAAGGCACCCAATGAGCATGATGTATCTATGAATGCTCTGATGCCGAATGGCATTGGCTCAAGATCGGACTGATCGGCTTCTGCTTGAGTGTGCAGCACTGGGGAAAGTGGTTGATCTTGGTTGCTCTGATAACTGTAGATTGTTTTGTTGAACTCTACACACGCACACACACACTCACTCTAGCTCTCTATTTCGCTGGCCACTTAAGGAGAGACGGTGAAGATCTGGAGGCCCAAGATCCTTCGGATGGCTGCCGACCCTTGCATGCTGCCGTCCTAACCGAGCAGACGGAAGCGGCCAGCTATCTCATCAGGCAGCCCAGGGGGGATGTGGGGGATGTCTGATTCAAGCTCACGTCATCTCCTGTGCGCTGCCCCCGAGCCGAGGCAACGCGCAGACTTGGAGAGCCGGGCCTTCGAAGGTCTCACGCCGCTACTGCTCGCCTGCCGGTCGGATGCGGGGAGGCCACGTGGGGCCCCGCAAGATATTAGGCGGAGTTTTTCCTTGTGACTTGCTGTGACTTTGTGTGAGGCTGGTGCGTCTGCTCTTGCACCACTCTGCTGATGTGGCCGCCAGGGATGCCTTGGGTCGCTCGGCCCAGGACATTTGCGCGGAGCATCGCTCCAAAAGCGCTGTGAAGGCGCTGGCTGGGGAGGAAGAGCTGGCGGAGCCCCAGGAGGAGTCGGTTGAGAGCCCGGCGAAGAAGGAGCAGGGCGTTGACGAGGTGAAGCGGGCTGGGGGGATCCGAATCCCAACCGTAGCAATGAGGCATCTTTCCTACGGGTTGTTTAGCCATCTGATGGGCCGTAATCTGAAGGCAGATTGTTTTTGTTGGGGGTTGATGTCAATATCCCGCCTCAGGTGAGACAGCATGAGAGCTCAGCACCCGCCGGCAAAGAGCCCTTGAGCAAAGCGGTGCTGTGGGAGCCTTGGTTTGGTTCCGCGGTGGACCCGGTGGAGGCAGAGGGAGTGGATCCCCAGTACGAAGCTTGGGACCAGGAGATTCAGACAGGCAACAGACCTGGAAGCCACCAAGTGTGTTGAATGAGATTCGTTGTGATGCCGCTTCAGCTGCTGAATTTTGGCGCATTTCCTCAGCACCAGAGCTGCATGGGAAACCCTATACTCCCACAAGCCCTTGAAGGACATGTTGCGAAAATCCTTAAGATGTTTGCAAAACCCCACCAAGTAGCATGCCAGGCGTGAAACTCCATATACAGTCAAAACGAGATGCGGCTGAGCAATCCTGTAGGCGGAACATCGAGAAACCGTAACCGTGAGCACAGTAGGACCAGTGAACACCGTGATGTGTACCGCCGAGTAGTCGGGAGAACTGCTGTCAAAGTTTGGGTTGTGCCGTTGTGCATGGAGCATGCGGCCGTGGCGGCCGTGACCCGGCCAGGCCACGCGCCGAGTCACGCGAGCTGGAGCGCCAAAAGTCCTTCACGCTGTTTCACTGCTGTGATTTTCGAGTCCTACTGGTATCTCTTGGAGCATTTTCTTCTACCGCAGCGCCAGTTTCACTCGAGACAAGGGGGAGGGGGCGGGCACGGCTCGTGACCGGCTAAGCCGTCCGAGCCCGGGGCCTTTCGGAGTTCGCAGAGCTTCGCAGCTTCTGCATGGACGTCACCACGCGCGGCGGTTGGCGAGCGCCTCACCTCCGTCGGGATGGGGTCCTTTCCCACACTCTTCTCTTGAGGCGATGCCGAAGCACTTCGGGCACCACCTCCGCGAGATGCGGAACAGCCACAGGCACACGAAGACCCGTTCAGGAACCAAGCCAGGAATTCAGGAACTCAATTCGGGAAATGCCTCCGGAAGCTCCTGAACCAAGTGTAGAAATTCAGGAACCGGTTTTCACGAACCTAGCCAATTCCGGAACCGAAACAGTACGACTCAGGAACTGAATCATGCGGGTTGAAGGTGTTTGTTGGGCTGACAGTTCACAGGTTGTGTGGGTCAGGGTTCGGGGTTTGCCTTGACGTAGGGGTTCGAGGTCCGCACTGCCTTCCTCGCTTTAGGGTCAGGCCGGGCAGGCCTTCAACTTCGCGAGGACTTCAGGCTTCATCTTGGGACGACTTCAGGGTTTGCTCGGGCTTTAAACTTCGGGACGACTTTAGGGCTTCATCGTTGGATGTGCCAGCAACGCTAACAAGTACACAGACAGTACCAAAGCAGCAACAAAAACACAGCGAAGACAATAAACAGAACGACACAGCGGACCCCTTTTGCCGTTGAAACTGTGTTAGGGTGGTGCTTAAGTTTGGTTTTTCCCACGGTTTAGGCTCACGTGGACTTCGAGATTTCGAGGTGGAGGGGTTTAGACTTTTTCAGGGTTTGCGGTGTTTAGGGTCTAGGGCCCCCAGGGCCTAGATTCCTAGACGGTGTTCAGGATGAGGCTGTAGTTTGGGGTTTCGGGTGTAGGGTTTTCCAAGCTTTAAGGTCTCAGGATCTAGCGCGGGTTCCTGGTTTGCCAGGACCGGGTTTACAGTTGAGGCTTGAGGGGTAGTTCTTCAGGGTTCCAGGTTGTTTTTCGCTTCGGCTTTGCGACGTTCCGGGTTGAGCAGGAGGAGGTGGCTGGTTTGTGAGCTCGTCTTGTGGGTCATGTGCAGGCAGAGCTCGGGGAGCTCCATCTATCCCGAGAGCATCCAAGAGCCCGGCCCCCACTTGGGGGTCTTGGGGCCTTGGGGCCTTGGGTCGGCGACGGCGGGTTTCGGAGCTCTCTGAGGATCCGCAGGTCTCTCTACTGGATCTTGGAAGAGCCCGATGCCAGCGTGGGCCCATCATCTGGGGCGGGAGTTTGAGGCCGAAGCTGAAAAATTCAAACGGCAAGGTTCGGATGTCCCGCGGGTCCTGACCATCGGGGTGGCCTGGAGCCATGGCTTTTTGAGCGGATATCTTTGTTAAGTGCCCACGGCGAAGCTGCCCGGGCCGGGAGACTGCTAGGCTTGCCTGAACGTGCTGCTGATCCTCCTGTCCCTGGTGAGCCTCGTCCTGGAGACCACGCCACTGCCGGGAGCCCAGCCCGGCGGGAGCGGCAGCCCGGAGCCCGCCTAAACCCAAAAACGACTAAGCCTAGTGTAGCGGAGTCCTAGCGGCGCGTGCCGAGCGATGCGTCGCGCGGCGCAGGTTCCGGGAGACGACCTCCGAGGAGCGGAGCCATCAGAGAGGGGGGGGAGGGCCTGGGCCTCCTGGGCGCTCGGGGACTGTTTTTTTCAAGTTCCTCAAAAAAGACTTATTGGGGTTTGGGGGGATTTTTGTTAATCCATGTTAGAGGATCTTCTTCTGTTGCTTTGCCTTAAGTGACATTTTGACTTCAATGCACTCTCACTCAAGGCTTCCATGGAGCGACACGTCGCCGACACAGGACATGTGGCAGAACATCGAGATCGTCACCACGGGTCGGCCGTAAGAAGAAGTGCTCTGAAGCTTCCGTGATTCCTTGTTGATTCAGGTTGCTTCACCTTGGGGTATGTCCTGCGATTGTGGGCCGCTGCCTGTGCGTCGACATCATCTGATATTTGATGTTCGTGAGCCGCTCCCGAAAGCACCAGGTCTGTGACGTTTTCGGAGCCTCCGCCGTGGAGTGGTTCTTCAAGTACCGGGCCTCAGCACAAGAAAGGATGGCCTATGGCCTAAGCTGGCTTGCGGGCGTTGTTCTGCTCAGCGGGTCCGTGTAGTTCGGGTGGGCGTAAACGCGTAAAAGCGTAAAAGGTGAAATTCGTTTTTCGCGTTTTACGTTTTTCGGTGGTTCTCGCCAGTGTTTTGGACCAGACAAGCTCCGCGTACAAGCGTAAAAGCGTAAAAGTGTAAAACCGTTTTTTTGTTTTTCGTTTTTACGCTTTTACCCTGCCCCGCGTTTGTTTTCGCGGCACGTGATTGTCTGAAAGCGTAAAAGCGCAAAAGCGTAAAAGCGTAAACGGCCGGTTCTCAGCGTACAAGCGTAAAAGCGCAAAAGCGTAAAAGCGTAAAAGGCGCGTTCTCTGCGTAAAAGCGTAAAAGCGTAAAACGTAAATTTTGTTTTTCGCTTTTCGCTGTTTTCGCTTGAATTCTGCACCAAGGGCCGCTGAAACCGTAGTCTACACCCTGTAGCTCCAAGCCTAAACCCGTCCGGCTTACTATGTCACTATGTGGGCTACGGCGTCGCCAAGAATGCCTGGCCAAGGCCCCAACGAGTTAGCTGATGATGAAAAGTATAGAAAACAACTCTGTAGATTATGGTTGTGTAAAGAAGAAAAACCTGAAGCGGAAGAAGAAAAACAGAGAAAACACATTGGGAAAGGCGAACATTGTCATTACACTTTCCGGATATTTTTTGAAAAAGCTCGAGGAATCGAAGTGTCGAGCATGCATAATTTCATGTCTTGCATGGCATGCCTGTAAAGGGATTGTTGCATGTATGGAGATTGGTAAGCTCGCAAGGCAAGATTGCTGTGATTGCATGGCATGCATGCGGTCCTACTGCATGCACGTAAATGCATGCATGCATGCATGATCTCCTGTCTTGCTGTGCTTGCATAGACAAAGATGGCTTGGAAGTTTTCATGTCTTGCCTGCATGGTATGCATGCATTTGCATGCAATGCATCATGTCATGCATGCGGTCATGAACGGTTTCTTGTTTTTGTTCTGCATGCATGCAACTTTCAAGATTGCTTGCAGCGGCATTGTATGCAGCACGGCAGCGGACTGTGTTTTTGCACCAGCTCGCATTCAGGTCGGAGTGCATACTCAGAAAACTGCATGCATGGTGGATGCTCTGATCATGTATGGGCCCAGCAGACTCCTTTGACCGCCTCCATGCATTGAAAGCTGGAAATCTGCCAAGCAAGCGAATTATTCGGCATGCCCTTCATGCTTTCACTCCCTTCTCAGCCGCTTGGTCGGGCTCTCACTTGAAGCAGGGCCATTGCTGTCGTCGTCATCATTGGTGGCCAAACAATGTCGAAGCCACTGCCACCACCAGATCCTTAGATTGCAGCTTGCATGCACTTAGAAGCATGGCATGATGAAACAAACTTCAGCCCAGGATCGTGACCCCTGCGATTTCGCTTCGCATCCAACACCACCTCCACTAAAACCTCCTAGGAAGAGGCGATCTGCTGCGGCCCGGGCTTTCATCGCGAGGAGGCATCGCGATCTACAGGGGGTTGCTTCAAGCAAAATGCTGCAGGCATCATGAAATGCTGAACCCTCCAGAAATCAAAGATTGCATGCAAGCATGGATCAAACAAAAATTCTTTGCATGATCCATGCATGCATGCATCTTGGCAAGCACAATCCCATGTTCAAGCATGCATGATCAGCATGAGCTTCATGCATGCTTGAACGAGTCATGCATGCCGGAAACAAGCAAGGGCAAGCATGCACATGCATGATTCTTGCATGTAAGCATGGACAAAGAAAGCATTATTTCTTGTTGATGGGCCTAAAGTCGAAACAGTCATGCATGCAACCTGCAAGCATGAACACATGCAAGGCAAGCATGACACTTGCAAAAGAAACATAAGCACAGCTGCATATTTTCATCATGCATGGCGAGGTCGCAAATAGGCAGGCGGCAACACGGTCAGTGTGCCATCATTGGCTTTGTTGTACACGACACTGCAAAGCAGGTCATCGGCACCGATGATGTAAATCTGGGGGTCACCCGCCTCTTCACGAAACTTGAGCATGTTCATGTCTCACCGCTGCTGAAGGAAAGTGGCGGGGGCAAGCATCACCAGAGCAATATTGTGCAGCTCAATGCAGCAGTGCACTTTGGCACATCTTTAAGGGCACTCGTGCCCTGGCTCATTGCCACGCAGCACCATGTCGCCTTTCTTGATGATAGCACCATGCTTCAGCCTTGTCATGGTGCTTGTCATGCACTCATCCTCCTGCCGCAGGACATTGTACTGCACCAAGCTTTTCTTCAGCTTTGCAGTGCAAGCATGCGGCTGCAGCAAATGTGCCCGCAAATGGAAACCCTCTTCTTTGCCCATGACCGACAAATGCTCTGCAGTCACCTCTTCCAGAAGAGATGTGTCGAAACGAATCGTATTGCTAGAAGCCGACCCATATTTATGGGCGGCTTCCAAGACCCAGCATGCAGGCAGAAATCCTTGTTTCTCGTAGCAACCATCCAAGTGGAGGGTCCAATGAAACTTCGGCCGCATCACTGGACCCCATCCTGCCTGCACCGCTTTTTCCAAGGCTTCCTCGCAAGCAAGGAGCAGTTGTCTGGACCGAAGTGGTGCTTGATTTTGATCGTTCAAGGGTTCGAGCACATGCAACCATGCTAGAAGCGATGCTTTCGCAGGCTGCACTTCTTCTTGCAGGCAGCATGTTGTGAAGTAGTGCTGCAATGGTTTCAACAAACCCCAGAACTTCGGATGCAGTACACTTGAGATGACCTGTTTTTCTGTGGCTCTTGATTTTGTCTGCCGAAAACAAACTGCTCAAGGAGCCTTGTTTGTTGGCACCGGGCAACTGCCACAACTCCAAGTAGCCTGCGAAGGATTCCCACACATCGGCTTTGCCATGGTTTCGCCATGACTCGAATGCCCAACATATAACGAAACTGAGAACTCCGTTACTGTTTAGACAATGCATCCAGTCGTAACAATATTGCGAAGCCGGCTTGATCAATCCCAAAGCTCGTAACTTGGAAGACATGCACAAAGCATGTGGCGAAAATGTCCATCCACTTGCTTGTTGAAGCATTGCAAAGCGAGCCTTGCTTTCAGTTCCTGCCTTTGCTACCAGCCGATCCCAACTCTGCAGCAATTCGCTGTCCGAGGCAAGGTCGCAGGAGGACAGGGTCAGGTGTCTGGAGCTGATCTTCCCCTCGTCGTCATCATCACCTTCACGTCTAACATTGAAAATGTTCTTGCAGAGCATGCAAACACGAGAACCGATGTCCTGGCGGTTTGCAAATGTTTGCTTCTGGGCACTGCCGTCTTGTAAAAAGACGGGGAGGGTCCAATGGAAAACAAACAATGCATCGGTTGATTTCATGACAATGCCATGCGCCGGGTTCCAGAGCTGCTGTGCGAACATAACTTCCAAAATGAGTCTCAGGATCTGGCCGATACCAGCTTCAACTTTTTGTACTAGTTCAGTTCTCAAGACCGCCAATGTAAACCAGTGTCGCTCCTCGGATAAGCCTTGCTGTTGTAAGTTCAACCAAGAAAAATATATGCACCAAATTTTGCGGCCAGTACTGGAAAGTTGATTGCCGGGATGAGCTTCATCAGCGTAAAGAACTCCCTTCCATGGGCAGTCCAAGCTTGAGGGGTCTTGCATGTGCATGTGATTGAAATAATGGTGCCAATACCCTTCCTGCCTGTATAACCCCTGGAGCATTGTTGGTAGGTTGAGGATATGAAAGTGCAAATCCCCACCATCAATTCGCACAGCTGTGGGCTGCTTGAGTAAAGACCCACAATCCCCAGCCATAGCGGCAATCTTCTCCAGAACCGCTTGCTTGATGTTCTTCCTTCCATGCAGCTCTGGCACTCCTTCCTGTTCCACCTTGTTCAAAATCGCTGCCGAGCACGACACGAAGGAAATGCCTCTACGGAAAGCATCGAGATGGTCCAGCTTCTGCTTCTTGGAAGCTGAGCTGGAGGACTTAGCCATAAAGCATGGCTTGTGATATGATCCCTACCCTAAACTCAAAGACTTGGACAGCTGGGTATGTGACAACAACCTCATGCAGTTTTGCAATGCAAGCATGCAAGCAAGTGAGAAGCCAGCCCTAAGCGCTAGGAACAAGCAGCAACAGCCCTTTTTGCCGAAGGCTGGACATGTATAGTGCATGGAATCCCCTTGTGCTACCTTTTTCAGGTAGGTCGGATGCAACCATGCAAGGTCGCATCGAAAGTCCTCGGGCATAGAGCACTCTATGCACCTGTGTGTACCCAAACCCTGGGACGTGGATCAGTGCTTGGCCGCCTTCTTCCGTTCCTCCATGTACTTCTTCCATACGGCCCGACCGTTGAGTCGCACACCGGCGAACCCATCGAAATTGCAATTGTCGCAGCCATACACATTGCCACGGCATCTTGCACAGCCCCAGCAGGTGAGCCTTCCGTCCTGCTTGGCCTTCTTCTCCTTGTTCATCGGGTGTTTCTCAACACACTTCGCTGCAGGCTTTTTGAAGAGCTGTGGCATCTTCTGATTGCAAGGCTTCCCATTCTTCTTCTCCTGCTTCGGTGCTTTCGTATTCTCCACTTGTGCCAATGCCTCTGCTTCGTACTGTTCCAAGCTTTTGCCTTCGTTTGCCCCTGGCACCGACTGCTTTCCCGGAGACTTGTTTTCCGGAGCATCGGCGGGGCTCTGTGCCGGTACGTGCAGTAGAGGAATTTGCAGGTGTCGGCAGCAACTGGAGCTGCCGGATCACCTCGTCCTTGGAGGGCATGCAACTCGAGAGTGCAGCTTGTCTGGCTCCTCGGCAAGCTTTTCTTTCATGGTCTCCAGCCAAGTCTTTTGCTGCATGGCATGCATGGACATGTTGCAAGCAAGCTGGTTGGAACCCTGAGAAGTGCCTTTGAGCAGCCGGCTGGTGGTGCGGATTGGGCACGACTTGGACAAGACATGCAGCTGTGGCAGCTCTGCACAGCTGGGGTGAGAACCTTTGTAGGCTTTGGCAATCCAATCTGGTCCCAACTCTCGAGGATCGTCTGGATATGTCCGGAAGGCAGGCACATCACTCTGTACGTTCAGGCTGTGAAAAACGTCCTGGAAGTCAGTCGGTAATTTGTAGATTTTGTCTGCATCTGGTTGTTGGAGATTTTGCCAAAGATGGGGCACATGCAAAGTGACACAGGATTTCTTCGTACATTCTTTGCGGCTCGTCAAGCCAATCACCCGAAGCCGTCTGGCAATGAGGATCGGGGCGTCCTTGATGTCACCTTGCATAAGCTGCACGATTTCCTCTTTCGTCAAACAAGCCACTGGGTTCTTCAGTGTCTGCGGAACTTTGACGAGCTTGCAGCCACCTTCCGTGCTGCCACCTGAAGCATTCTTCAAAAGAGCATCACTCAATGCCTTTTTTGTATTTTCGTCCAATCCAGACTGTTCCACAGACTGGAGCATGTTGACATACTCCCCTGCCGGCAAACTGTCGGCAGTCACGACCTTCTTTTGCAAGACATTCAAAAGACTCGCCTGGAGCTGTGGATTCGGAGAGAAGCTCAAAAGCTTCTGGACATCCGAAAGCTCCTTGGCAAAGTCCTTGCTGCCCCAAGCAATTGCCATGAGTCCAAGGACCCAGGACCTAAATGATTGGGGCCTGTGCTAGGAGCCTGAGCCCGTAAGCTTGCCACCAAGGGCCAGAACACGAACAATTAGCAAGTTTTAGGCGTCCCAAGTATAACTCAATCAAAACATGCTGCTTATTGAAACCTTTTCAGTACCGCAGTCCTCGAGAAGCTTATGCTCCTTCACCTCACGCCAAACCCTAAACATAAGACCCTCCAGGCCCTGAACCTCCAAGCAAAACAAGATACCTACGCTAGCTGGGTGGCCTCTGTTTTGACGCTGTTCTTGGTTCCTGGTGTTTCACCTTTAGTTTGATGTTTTCGCTTAGTCACAATTTTTTCACTTTTACTTTTTTCGCTGTTTTTACACTTTTACCTTTTTCGCTGCGTGGCGCGTTTTTACGATTTTACTGTTTTCGCCGTTTTTACAGTTTTACGCTTTTCGTTCCGTGGCGCGTTTTTACGATTTTACGTTTTTTTCGCTGTCTTTACGGTTTTACCTTTTTCGCGCGGTAAATTGTTTTTTGCAATTTTACGTTTTTCGTTTTTACCTTTCTCCTTTCCGCGGCGGAAATAGATCCGATCCTCCAATTTTTTACATTTTAACCGTTTTACATTTTTCGCCCCTGAAGTTGGGCCATCTGGTTTTTACATTTTTACATTTTTACCGTTTTACTCGCTTCCTCCGGTCAAAAATGTACTTTTCGATTTTTCGTTTTTACGTTTTTCGCTGCCGATGTGCGTCCGGACTCCTTAACTGTTTCAACAACACTAAGCCAGCACAGGAATGGCCCACGGCCTTTGTTGCTTTTCTCGGCGAGCAAACAGCGAGGCCTTTGAACCTCTGTGATCTCCTGGCGCGGGGCCAAGCGACTTAAGATGTGACACTTCGAAGGGCAAGCCCGGAGGCCATTCTGCCCGTCTACGCGCAGACCGTCGCCTGGAGCTGAGGTGACGAAACATCCAAGATGTAAGCCGCGCGTGACTGCGAGGTCCGGCAGTGGGACCTGGAATTCCTCCGCGTTCTCAGGGCACGGAACCTCGGGACCTAACTGGGACACCCAAAATGGAGGGCTTTTGAAGGTGGTACGGCTCTTCAAGATCGGCCACTATTCCGAAGGCGCCCCGGGACATTTTTCCCGGTGGCAAAAGGGGCCGTGGATATATACCGGCTCTGTGAGGGGTCCGCATGATGAACGCGGCGCTCTTCAACAGCCTGCCCGGAAGCCCGAAGCGACCAAGCAAGTTCAAGATCGCACACCGTCGCACGCTTCGGGCTCCTGCGTGCGCGTTCTTGAGGTCGGCCCTGTACGTCTTGATCTTCCTCTTTGTGATTGGCGGGAGACTCGAGACTCGAGCTCCGCGGACGCGCGGGGCGCGCGGGGTGCGCGGGGCGGACACGCAGACACGCAGATGTGAGGGCTGGTGACCTTCGCCTCGGCCATCTACTTCACTGAGAAGCTCGCGTGCCCTGGCCCCGGATGGGAGCCCCAGCTCTGGGCCTCGCTCCAGCGTGCCCACGGGAGGCCCCGACTTTGCGCCGGCCAACCTCACACAGCCGACTCCCTGTTTCCTGCAAGCTCTGCAATGCTCTGCATTCTGCATGCTCTTGTTTTTTTGCGGGGCTCCGACGAGGTTTGAGGAGTACAATGCAGCTGGCATCCCAGTGACGCCCCTCCTCAGGCTCCTTCCTCTCGTTCACAGCTCTGAGGAGTGCGAGAACTCTCGCATCGGGGCCGTCAGCTACGGCTCCTGCTGCCAGCACCTGACATCGACCAGCAGTTTGCTTTGCAGCCTTGCGCATCGACAACAACAAGGCGCCTACATGTGCGCGAACATGCCCGCGGGCCCCTATCCGCTGTGCCAGAGCACCTTCGAGGACGCAAGCCGCTAGGGGGGAAGCCGTGGAAGCAGGGAGCGGCCGGGGCTTTTCACCTCTCGGCACGGGAGGCGCAAGCGGCAGACGCAGGGCCAGCGCCCGAGACTGTACTGAGACCACCTTATTGCGCACTTTCTGCTAGACTTGCTCTACGTGGTGCTTTTCTGTGTAGGTCTTCCTCGGAGTGGAAGGCGGTTGTGGGAGCTCGGTTGAAGATAGGGCCAGGGCACGGACCGCGGCCCGCGGCTGTCGTGAGGTGGAGGCCATGCACGATCTGGACATTGACTCCGTGCTTACCGGCATGCGGGGGCCCCCCGGGCCCCGGCAGGTTTCTGGGACTTCTTGCGACCCTGGGACTTGTTGGCCCCAGCAGGTGGTGGGCAGCAGTGACCATGACCACGGTCGGCTATGGCATGGGGCCGAGCTCCGCTTTAGTTGA